GGAGAGCCCTTGCTGCGAGGATGGAGCCCGCCCGCGGGCTACCGCGCTGACTGGCGGCAGCACGCGCGCCGCCCCATGGGCGCCATTTTCAAGGAAGAACGGGGCCCGCTAACCAGTCGCGGTCCATGTCGCGACGAGGCTGTCACTTCCGAATTTGCCAGGTATGACGCGCGCTTCTTCCAGGGCGCCCACGCAGGTGGCGCGCGGGCGTCAGCAGACGCAACGAGGCATGATTTACCCGCCGCCGAATAGGCGGTGGGTGACGCTGAAAGTAAGCGCGGGAATTTTACGCCGTTCAAATGCGCGTCTGAAAGTTGGAGCGTCAGGCCCTCTACCGCCCACCGCCCCCTTCCTCATCGAACGCGTTCATCGGCCCCCGGTCACGGTATCAACACAATGGCCGAAGCCATCACCATTGACAACACATTCCTATGTTGCTCCGGCATCCTCGCATCCATCGGCCAGCGGCAACGACGCCTTAGACGATCGTGGAGAGAGAACCGATGCATCCCCGTACGCATGAGACATGCAACGAGCCCGTTACAATCGAGAGATGGCCAAACCGAGCGCCGCTTCCAGCATCCCGATCCAGTCGTATTACGTCGCTTGTTTTGCAGATCGGCTTTCTCATGCCCCGCCGGGGCCCAGGCTCTAACCAGTGCAAGTTCGACCAGCCAGCCGCTGCACTACAGTGCCGCCCAGGTACTTCCACGCACTCCAGTGGGAAGCGACGAGCGGCGCGTCCGCCGTCTGCCGCTGCTGAGGCAAGAAAAGCTCCGCACCGGGCTCGCCGCTCGCCGCCACCGCCGGCGACAGCTACGTCGAGGGGCCGAGGGCCAGGCTTTGGGGGCGCCAACACCCCAGAGTACGCCATCGACTCATGCCACGCGTGCTACGTCTGCTGCCACTACTCGACCCTGCCAGTTCCCCTACGCGCTGAACCCGAACGCGAAGGTGGCGACGCTGGAGGGCGCGGCGATGCGGACACGGGGCGCCAACGTGCCCGCGAGGGCAGCGTGGCGCCTCCCCCATCTTGGGGGATACCACCCCCGGGTTTGGGATTTCCAGCAGCGTCGCAGAGGCGCCATCGGCGGCGACAGCGCCAGCGGCAGAACAGCAGGCCGAATGGCGGCTCGCGATAGAGAGCCAAGGCGCCAGCAGCAGCCGTGGGCGCGGACGAGGGCCAGGGCGAGGACGGGCGGCGACCAACCTCTCAAACGGAAGACAAGACGCGGAGGACGACGCCACCGCGGACAGCATAGAGGGACAGCGTGGATCTGCCGAGACGAGAACCTGCAGGACCTATTCAGCATCCGCAAGCGCACCCAGATGAACGCGCAGCGCCTGAGGATTGTCCCAGCGGCGACGGCCGACGCGATCACGGCCCCACGCAACCGCCTCGCGGTCGCAGAACTCACGAGGGAGCTCGAGAATGACAAAGGACACCTTGATCGGTTCCGGATCGGCTTGACAGATGAGGTGGCGCATTTCAGAACCTTCGGCAGCCAGGCGGTGCCCATCACGCCATGTCTATGCGAAGCTCTAATCCAGCACGGCTTCGGCGACCAGGCCAAGAAACGTTTCGGCGGACATCTCGAACAGGGCCAGCCGCCAGAAAGAGTGGCCGCGGGCGTTGCCCACAACAACAGGGTCGGAGACAGACGCTGCCATCCTCGAACTCGAGAAGCGCCAGGATCCCGAGCAGATCAAGATCTTGCTGGTGCGCCCGCGGTGGGGACCGAGAAAGGACGTGTTCAAGACTTTCGCGGCCGAGGGCAATGTGACCCACCGCTCTGGGATCGCCCCGCCTGGATGGTTAGAGGAGGAGTTGTCTCTGTGGGCAGAAGCACTGGGCAACCGCTAATCGTAGTGTGGAGGATGAGGCGATGGCCAGTGCCTTTTCTCCTCGCCCCCCTTGTCTCGCTCGCTCTCTCGCCCTTCCCTCTCCCATTCCCCCTCTCGACCCGTGCCTTCTCAAACGAACACGAAAACTTTCCATGCTTGCCAGGTTTTGCGGAGCAAGAGGCCGCAGATTTCCTATATGGCGGAGCCTTCGTTGCTGTCGCGCGCCGCCCTGTTTTTCTAGCGTTCGAGGGAGCACCGTGCCCGCCTGCTCCAATGATCTGAGGGCGCAGCTCCCTAGAACGGGTCCCATATGCACTTTGTACACCATGCTGGGCAGCATGTGTGAAGTATGCAGTTGCCGTTCATGACATATCATGGCCCTTCGCTGATGAAAACCGTCGTCGTCGAGGCGTCGTCGTCGCCGTCGTCATCACTATCGCCGTCGTCGTCGTGATCGTCGTCGTCGTCGCCGTTGCCGTCGTCGGCGCCGTTGCCGTCGTCGCAGCCGTCGGCGCCGCCGTCGCCGTCGCCGTCGTTGCGGCCAGCGTTGCGGTTGTCGCCGTCGCCGTCGACCTGGGCACCCGCATGGGGGGGCCCCAGCACTTTCGACTGAACGGACCTCGGGCTATAGTCGGGTGGGGATTTTGGGGGTGTGTGGATCTCACGGCCGGGGCCGTGAAGCCTCCCCTCTCCCATGGCCCCTTTTTCTTTTGATGGGCCAGACTTTCACCACCACCACCACCAGAAGTTGGGGGGAGGGGGTTCTCCTCCCCCTCTTCTTTTTCCTCCTCCTCCTCCACCTCCTCCCCCCCTTTCCAACCATCAGTTTTCTTTCAACGCGTTCCCTGGCCCACCCCCCTCGTCCGCGCGCGCGACTCGGACCATGACTCATGCATAATATGATGCACCGGCCCCCCCCATCGCCCCTCCGATTCGATGTCGGGTGTGCCGGGTCCGATCTGTCGGCTTTGGGTTTTCGGGCGATGCGGTGCGGCGCTTGGTCGCGTGTGGCAGGGTGGGCCCGCGTCGAGGCGAGACGACGACCCCGAGGAGGAGGAGGAGGAGGAGGAGGAGGAGGATGAGGAGGAGGAGGAGGAGGATCAGTGGGAGGAGGAGGAGGAGAAGGAGGAGGAAGAGGAGGAGGAGGAAGAGGATGTGCGCGCAGCCGCTTCTTGAGTTCGAAATGCTGCCGGCTGCGGGCCCCAGGGGCCACCGAGAGAAGCGGCCCGCATGTGGCCCGAGACTCGCCGAGGGCCTGTCGGGGCCGAGGGCTCCACGAGTCGCGCGATGGAAAGATCCCCGCGGCGAGTGCTGACCCCAGACCCCCTCAAGTTATGAAAAAATCACGACGGGAGGTTTTTCATTATTTTGGGCCTTTGGGAGCCCTTACCGGCCCTCGGGACCGTCAAAAAACGACTCAGGACGAAGAACCGGTCCCCGGGAAAGGGTCCAGAACGCTGGGGGTCGACGTCATGAAATTTCATGACGTCGTGGGTCTGGGACTACTTCGGGGGAGGCACTGTTTACACACGTTCGCTCATGCAGCCCTTGCAGACAGAGGCCCTTCCGGTGTCTCCAGCCCTGCCCAGCAGGTCCCGCCTGTCCGTGGGCCCGTGCTCCCACGCCATGGCCAGCACAGCCCACTGGGGCGTGCTCCCCCCTGGGGAGAGGCCGCTGCTCCTACGAGCTCGAGGTGGATGCCATGGCCAGGGCCGTGGCATCTCTCCGGTGCCATCCTCTCTCCTCACGCCTCCCGGCGCCCCCCTCCCCTCGTCCGCGCAGGCGCCTCGGCCCAGGCCTCTGCCCGGCCCCCCTCTTCTGCGCGCCCGCCCTCCCCGCTCCTCCTCGCCTCTCTCCCGTGCTCTCTCTCTCGCTCCTCACGCCTTCTGGCGCGCCTCGCGCGTGCCGCAGCGCCCGAGCTCGCTGTCGCGCTGGACACCCTGCCCCGCCGCCGCCCCCCGGGCAGAGTTCCGCCCCGATCCCCGCTCCCCCATCCCTCCTCCCTCCTCCCTCCTCCCCCCTCCCCCTCCCCTCCCCCTCCCCCTCCTCCTCCTCCTCCTCTCCCCCTCCCCCTCCCCCTCCCCTCCCCTCCTCCTCCTCCTCCTCCTCCTCCTCCTCCTCCTCCTCCTCCTCCTCCTCCTCCTCCCCTCCTCCTCCTCCTCCTCCTCCTCCTCCTCCTCCTCCTCCTCCGGGGCCCAGCTCGACCCGATCGACCGGATTCGACGTCGGTCCTGGCGGGCCCGATCCGCCTCGGTTACGGGGTTCCGTGCACGTGCTGCGGCCCGAGGCCTGCACGACGCCGCCGCGCAGCTTGGCGCCGCCACGCCGCCTCGGCCTCGATGCCGTGCCGACGCAGCGCGATCCGACGCACAAGTTCCGATCTGGCCCGCCTCTTCGATCCGATGCTGTCGAGGAGAGGGCGGGTGGGTTGCGGGATCTGTTGCATATGCAGCTGGTTTCGGCGCTCCGCCGCGGGGCGCGTTTCCCCAATACGACGTTGGCGCCGCTGGCGCCGGGAGGCGCCGCAGAAAGCAGCTGCGTGAGCTGATTCGCTTAACCTCTTCTTTACTCAGGAGGGGAAAAAAAAACACAGACACAATTCATCCTCGATCCCTCAGACAATGTGGGAAAACATGGGAAGTGGGGGGGGGAAGACAGAAACCCAGGAAACATGGGAACATATGGGGGATATATGTTTTTCTTTGTGTGTATTTCTTGGCGTGTCCTGGGGCCCCTTCGTTTACCATCGAGCCCCCGACGTCATGCTCTCTGCACGGCGTGGGCACCCCGGAGGCCTCGACCCGCTCCCCGGGACCAGCGCCTCCCCTCCGAGTCGTCTCTCGACGGCCCCCCGGGCCCGGCGAGGGCCCCCCTTCGAGGCCGACGAGAGCGCCGACGACGTCCCGCCGTGGAGGTCTAACCCCGACCTTCCAGAGAGCTACCTTTTAGCACCGGAGACCCAAAAGCCAGAAAAAAGCGGAGCGAAACCGCCCAAGACCGAGACGCACAGCAGCTTTGGGGTAGCTTGTTCAGTCGGGTGCTATCTTTTTTAGCCCTCCTGGAAGGCCAGGGAAGGGCTCCCCCTCGCCCTCGCCCGCCCCGAAGGGGCCGAGGCCGGCGGGGCCGCGGCGCGCGCCCCCCGCCCCGGTGCGGAGGCGCTGCTGCCCGCCGTGGAGGCCCGGGTGGTGGTGGCAGAGGCTCTCCCCCCCCCCCGCGGGCTGCCGGGGGCCTCGCCGCTGCTCGCCGGGGCTCGCGGGCCTCGGGCGCGTCGTCGTCGAGCGTCGTCGGTGGCCAAGAGGGCGAGGAGGGGCGACCCTTGCCTGCACGCCTGCGGATCGAAGACTCGCGGCCCTCGCGGGCTCCCCGCCTCTTCCCCACCCCTCTGCACCGCCAGTTCCCCGCTCGTTTCGGCACTCTGGCGACCTCCTGTTCTCTGCGCTGCCATGCCACGACCTAGGATTAAAGTCCGCTCCACGTCAACAAATTTCCCCAGTGCGACCCTACCTAGAAGTTGGAGCCCCTAGGAAAGCAGCAGTCGTTGCTATGCTATGCCATGCTATGCTGCGCTATGCTATGCTATGCTACGTTATGCTGCGCCATGTTATGATATGATATGCTAAGCTATGCTATGTCATGCTGCGCTGTGCTATGATATGATATGATACGCTATGCTATGCTATGCTAAGCTGCGCTATGCTCTGCTCTGGTCTGCTCTGCTCTGCTATGCTATGCTGCGCTGTGTTATGCTGTGCTGTGCTGCGCTGCGCTACGCTATGCTATGCTATGCTATGCTGCGCTATGCTATGCTATGATATGATGGGCTATGCTATGCGATGCTGCGCTATGCTATGCTACGCTATGCTATGCTATGTTGTGCTCTGCTATGCTAAAGCTCATCGACGCTAAGATGAAGGTAAGCTAAGCTAAGATACACCTGAGCTAAGATGAAGCTAAGCTAAGCTAGGATGAAATAAGCTAAGCTAAGATGAGATAAACAACGCTAAGCTAAGGGGACGTAACTGGGGGAACCGCGGGGCGGATCCTGGGGGAGCCGCCCGGGGCGAAGCCCACTGCCCGGCC